TTTTTATTCAATTTTACTTCATTTTAAATTAATGAAATATTCTTTGGGCATTTTCCACACATATCCTACTTGGTAGCATTAGTGAAAAAGAAATGGTTCTTGTATAGATGTTTCTAGAGATATTTGTACAGTTTCCTTGTAAAGGATATAATCATTTTTCTTCATCAGCACTAGCAGCTGAGATTTTAACTAGTTACTGTATACAATTAAAGATTGGGAACTTAAAGGTAGCTTTGATTCTCAGATTGATTAATGAAAACATATGAACAAAGAACAAACATAGATGTTTGATAGAAGTAGTGAGTGTCCCATTTCTAACAAGACACCCAATAAAGCTGGGAACGAGGATGCCTTCATAAGTGCTTATGACTTCGACAAGTTTATAAATTACTGGGAAAACCTCCTAGTCTGCAAAACATCAAGGAGGCAGACATTAGCATTTCACATCTGCTCTCCTATGACAGTTATTACAGGACTGAGATATGACTCTGCATTTCACATCACGTGATTTGGTCCTTATCCATCCTTGCAGAATGTCAAATTACAAATTGTAACTTGAATAAATGTTTAGGCAGAAGACTTATACAGTGAATAAAATGTCAGGGGTTTCAAAATGAAGTATCACAATTTGTCATATAAAGAGCTGGGGTCCTAATTAAGCTAAATCATATACTGTCTTTAACAAACAAATTAAGAATATCTGGAGTAGAAAATCAAATTAAAATCTACACACACACACACACACACACACACACACACACACACACACATACCCCTACCTGAATATGCTTTTGATACTATTTAGATAGCAATAAGGAAAAATTTATATAAGGAAGAATTAAATAAGAACCTTAATGTAACATATAGATCAGAAATATGATAGAGCAAACATTTGGTCAAATATATAGAACAAACATTTATATGTGCATTTTAATATATTAGGAATGCTGAGGTTTTAAAGTCTTTCTTGCAATAGCTGAGACAGTATATATTAAAATATAGAACACACATTCATTACATACAATGTAATGGGTAGCTTGAATATTATGGGATTACATATAGTAATGAAAAATTTTGGATTAGATGAGATTACAGAAGAAAGCTGTATTCATGCTATTTTTTTTTAAAAAAAAAAACCTTTTTTAGATGCATATGAACACAATATCTTTATTTATTTTGATGTGGTGCAGAAACTCGAACCTAGTACCTCACATGTGCGAGGCAGGTGTTCCACCACTGAGCCCTAGCCCTATCCCTTCATGCTACTTTGAAACTAGCAATTTTTCCTGAGAGCTGTGTCTGTTATTTTCCCATTTTCTACATATTATGTTGACTTTGCTATGTTTGAATTACCAACAGCCATGTGAGTAAGCAAATCAATATGCTGGTCGGTACTGTGTTTTAGTTCCCATAGGCACCTTGCCAAAAGCAGTAGAAGGAAGTTAGAACCCAGAGAGGGAAGTCAAAGAAGCTCCTTCCCAAATTGACCTTACCAATCCTTTGGTATGAGAAAAAAAGCACATCGCTGCCATCAAGCCTGATGGAATAAAAGTGAATAAAATTCCACTGGTTTCTACCCATTCTTGGTTACTAGAAGAGCCCAGAGCTGTTCATTTTCTCATTCCTTTTCCATATAACTTCCAGTTTAGGATCTGGAACTTTGAATACATAGAAATAAACAGGATTTTCTTTAAGGGAGATAAATTTTACAAAGATCTATTGACTTAAGGAGCAAAACTCTCATATTTCCGAACTCTTCATATATTCAAGGAGACTCTTCAGGGCTGAATCACTAAGGGGTGACACTAGCTTTCCATTAGTGACATTTTATACTTACTGAGTATCCCTTGAGAATGTGGCTTGTATTCACTGATAAGGACAATTCAGTGCAATTCCTCTCCTTATCTATAGAGCTACCCAAACAGAAGTTACCCCACCTGATTATTCCTGTAAAGAAAGGGGAACATTCTTCTCTTGGTTTCTCTACCTGGAAAGCACCTCTTGATCTTCATTTGTGCTGTGTGTAGCAAGAAACGATGAACTCTACCTTTTTTCTATATTCTTGGGCATGTGAAAAATCCATTTTATTTTCATGCTAAATCTTCTATTTTTGTTGGTTTTCCCCCCAAATAAGAAATATTTGCAAATAATGGTTGATCAACTAGAAAAATGAAAATATTTTTGATTTTTTCCCTACCACTAGAAAATTAAGATAGTTTCAATGGAAACAGGGCAATTTCCTTGAAGGGACTGAATATACTCAGTTTATTTTAATACCATTTTTGTTGGTTATTTGTAGAAATATGTGACTGCAGGGAGATTCTAAATTGTAAACTTTAGCAAGCACCAACTTCTTCATTTCATGATTTGAGACCAATGCTGGGGGGAAGTGTGAGATTATTGCAGGGTTTTGCCTTTTGTTTTTTGTTTGTTTGTTTATTTTTGACTGTAACATAGCAAAGAAGGACATTTTTTATGGATGAAAAAATTCATGCAAACAACAAGTAGATTCAATGATAGAAAAACACATTATTAATCTGCACAGTGTGTTCACAAAGGTTGTATACATACTACATTTTCTATAAGTTTATAATGCTGCATGACTGTCATAGTTCAAAGTACAGAAAAGTACACCTCTGCTGCTAGAGGTATTCATCCACCTGAGTACCTATGAGAAGTTTATCAACTGCGTAAACCTATCCTTAGAGAAGATTCTTGGTGCTGCTGCTCTCTAAAGAAACAATAGGTGATGTCATGAAGCTGCGGGAGAGAAATGTGATTGTGAGCATTGATGAGCACAGACCCTCAGGAAGCACAGCTGGCCAGTCTTGCTGGTTGTCTTCTAGGTTGCCAAGGCTATCAAAAACGGGAAGCTGGAATGGCCAAGAAATCAATTTGCAGAATAGTAAAAAGGTCACCATGGTCCAATGTAGTATGCTGTATTATTTGGAATGTATCATCTGCTCAAACGTGTATGCCACATCTAATGACATCAATTGTGAAACAAGAGAGGAATGGGTTGCTGGACTCCTGCTGATGGTTTAAAATAAACTGAAATCATTTTCTAGGACCCTTGTTTTAGGCTATCTGATATTATGCCTCTTAGTAGCTTACTTTGTAGTAATTTTATTAACCTGTTCTTCTTTAATTAAACTTTTTCTTTTGAAAAAAAAATTCTAACCTGCCCAAAAGTTGGAATTCTATTGCAATTTGTCTACATTCATCTATATGTACCTCTATTTTGTCACATTTACGTCCTCTTTCCAAATGCATGTATAAATGGGTACATGTACATATAGGTAAACACATTCCTCCTCTTGTATAAAAATATATTCATTTTCTGCAGCCATTTCAGTGTATGCTCAGCTGAAATCTCTGAAGAAATGTGGATATTTTCTTTTGTAACCTCACTACTACTTTCAAATTCAGGTGGTTATCTATTCTTAAGTGTTCTCTGATTGGAACATTTAACTTTCCATTATTTTTCCCAAGAAGAGCAAGTCCATAATGATACAGTCCCAGATGCCTGTCTATAACTGGTATCCTTCAAATGAAGGCCCCTGGCCACTTTCAGCAACCTCCTTCCCAATTATTCTTACATGTCCTTTCTTTTCTTCATTTTTATCTACTTTTTTTGTTCCCTTTTCATTTTCCCTTTGCAATTGATATTTTTAAAGGCCACCTTCTACTGCTCTCTGTTCACCTAAGTAACTTAATTACATTTCTGGGAGCTACATTGCTTATCTAAATGTATCTGCCTAAGAAAAGAAATCTAGGTGATATTTTGCAGCTTGATGACTGTTATTTCCTGCAGCCTGTTAGAAGGAGACTTCATTCAAACTGTAAGACATTCTAGAGTAAGTAGTTCAGTAGCTGAGGCAGTAATTAAGATCATGGGTATTTGAAGAAGCAGAGGCAAACTTGCAGGTAGATCGCTCTTGGAAGCCTTTTTTCTTGTCAGCAACTTAGCACCTGATGTTTTGTCTGGCAACTAAGAGCTCTTTTAGGACTTTTCTCCCAGAAGCTCTCATCTATTAAAGCAGAGAAATTCCATTGATCCCAAAGAAGTCTCAGGAAGAAAATGTAGTTTAGTAGTCTATTTCAGAACTTTTCAAAAGCAATTGCCAAGTAGAGAGGCAGGGTCTCTGTTAAAAAAAAAAAAAAAAAAAAAGAGTTTATCCCTGAAAGATCCTCCTTCAAGGGTCCAGGTTAGTAGCCTGAAATCAATTCAAGCAGCTAAAAGGATGAAAGGAGATTTCATGGTCTGGGGTATCTTCTTTTCAGTGCTCTGGTTAGGGGTTTTCTTTGGCTGCCTGACTAGAGGCAAAGATTAGTGACACAGTGCTTGCTTTCAGTGATCTGGGCTTCTGTGCTTGTTCCCCTGGAATGAAGCCCAGGCTGTGGGAACCAGAGGTCCTTTTAACATTTGTAGGTTAGGATGTACAGGGTTTATATAGCTACATTCACACCAAGTCATCAAGAAGAATTGCATTGGTATTTTGAGAATACCCAGGTTTTTCTTAGAGTGACTACAGGAAGCAGATCAACCTTTCTGGAGGGCAGATTGGGCTCTTGTATAGCCAGAAGGGCAAATTTGATTAGCTCTTTCCTTATGCCTTGGATCTGGTGGTTTGATGTGAGGATGGAGGGATCATCTTTTTCCTGAAGTTTTCTTGCATTCTACCACAGCTAAGGAGTTCTTCTCAGCCATATCCATACCTAAAGTGCCCTGAGCTTTTTGTTCTGAATACCAATGTTTTCGGCAATGGAGTAAGCCACTGGCCATCAGAGATATGGAACACACCCAGAATCCATCCATAACTTTTTTATTTTTTGTATTGGGGATTGAACTCAGGGGCACTCAGCCACTGATCCACATCCCCAGCCCTATTTTGTATTTTATTTAGAGACAGGGTCTCACTGAGTTGCTTAGTGCCTTGTTTTTGCTGAGGCTGGCTTTGACTGTCCATACTTTCTACTTTCAGGAATCAAATACAAGATTTTCTTCTTATAAGTTGTTTTATTGATAGAAGTACAAAATTTGGTTTTCTGTTGGGATAGGTTCCTTTTGAAAACAAAACAGTTCTCAAGATTCTCAGTGTTTAATTGAAGGGCCTGGTACATAATGGGACAGTATTTCTCAAACTGTGGTCCCTGGATCTGTAGCACCATCAGCATCTGAAAACATATTAGAAAAGATCTTTAGAAGCTCAATAGGGGCTTCACAGATGTTTGCTGAAGATAATGCTAGTTTTTCAATTCTGAAGGAGAATAATGTCACTAATACTACATTGTAAGGCTGTGGTTCCCAAACTTTACTCTGCCTAAGAATCATTAGGAGGATTTGTTGAAACATAGATTGCTGAACCCCATTCCCAGTGTCTCTCATTCAGTAGATCTGAAGTGGAACTGAGACTATGCATCTCCAACAAGTCCCCAGGTGATGCTCATGTTGACTCCATATTGAGAAGCATTGGTCTGATACAATGATTTTCCACCTTGGCTTGACCTTGGGGTTGATTTTAAATATACAGAGGATTAGGTGCCACCCCAGACCAAGTAGATCAGAATCTATGTAGGTGGGTGAATGAGAGCCTTTAAAATTTCCCAGGTTATTCTATTGAGCACCCAGCTGTGAATTACACTGAAAATCATCTCAAAAGAGTGGTCCTCAAGCCTGGTTTTCCACTAGAATCACTTAGCAAGCTTTAAAAATCTTGATGCCTAGATTTGTATCCTAGAAGTTCTGAGACAACTAGTTTGAGGGACTACCAGGGTATTGAGACTTTTTGAGAGCCTCCCACACAACTGATTCTGATGTGCAGCCAAAGTTAAGAACCACTTCCTTAGATACACCTTGCAGCTGAGAGACTTTTCAATGTAATCTTGTACAAAGGATATAACAATGAAGGAAAATAAAATTCCTATACTGATTTATTCTATGGTCATTATACAGTTTCCAAAATTATATTGAATGAATTTCCAAAGCTATGAGTTGGTATATTTATAGTAAATCATCTAAATTTCGAATTAAAACTTCATTCTAAATTGCCATAAAATTCATTTACTTTGAAGCAGACTCACTTTTGTTTACCATGTGTATGCTGTTTGTTTAGATAAATACCCAAAGGGGTAAAAATAATTTCATTTATCATATATTGAATTTTCTTGCCCATTTTCTTCTCAGTTAAAGGTAATCACTGGTGTAGTAAAATATAGCATAGTGGAAATGTGGACATGCAAAGAACTCTGGCCCCATCACAAGAGAAGATGTTTACCTGTCTGGTTTGGTTGGTTACAAATTTACACAATATCAAGGATCTGGTACACAGGTGGAGCAAGACTCCTCAGAAGTGACATTCAGGAGCCCGAGAAGCTCCTAAAAAATGGTAGCCTGACTGCACATCAGGAGACTGTTGAGTCAGGGAAGCATCAGCTAAGCTTCAGAGACCCTAACCTAGGCTGAGGCAGATAGTGGTAGTGGAGTTCAAATGATATTTATCAAAGTAGCAAAACATTTGTGAATACTAATAGGATTCACATTAAAGGTCTTTACACCTGTGGAAGACATCCTTTGCGGTGCTAATTGTCCCCCCCTTAACTCTACAACAATCTATATCCATATGACACTGAGAAAGCTGCTTAATTCTTCCAGGCCTTGGATTTTTCCTTTATTTTAAACTTTATCTTGCAAGGAGGAATATATGAGGTAATGTGCAAGCATTTAACTCAGTACATACAAGGAAATCAGAATTATTCTTCCCCTTCTGTCCTTTCTAATATTATAAAATTTGTCTTTGATCATCAACAAAAGAGACAAAACATCCATATCTTTCTTCCCTTTCCTCTTTCCTACCCATTTCAACTTTTATTGCACTGCTACAAGGTCTTAGCCAATGTGATATAGGTGTGGGGATACAAAGATAAAAAAAGCTTCTATCTCTGCCCCTAGTATACAAAGTCTAGTGAGACAAATAAACATGCAATTATTTTAACAAAAGTATGAAAAGTGAAAAGTTGGTACACAGGCAGCACAGAGAATGGCTTCTCAACTCGCTATGAGATTTGGGAGTATTTTGAAGGAAGTTATGTCTTTGGCATTGGGTAAGAGTTAGCTAATAGTGGTGGGATCATGGGGAAGAGTTGGAAGTAGGGAGAATTGCTGGCAGAGAACAGAACAAGTGAAAGAACAGGGAAGCATATGCTATATGAAAAAAGCACAGCACAGGTTAGTAAGTTTGACCTGCCTGGGAACTGCTGGACAGGTGTGAAGGATGAAGCAGGAAGAGTAGGCAGATCTCAGAACATCTATGCCCATGTTTTTCAAAGTGTGGTTCTCCTACCAACAGCATGAGTATCACCTGGGATTTTGCTAGAACTACAAATTATTATGTGCTACTCTAGATCCACTGAATGATAAAGGTTGGGCATGAAGCCTACACATCTTTGTTTAAACAAGTCCTGCAGATGTTTGTGATGCATGCTAAAGTTTGAGAAACACTATTTGCTGTGCTTTGAATATTGGTGTCCCTCTACAATTCATGTTGAAACAATCTTCAAGGCAATACTATTAACAGGTGGGGCCTTTAGGAGATGATTAGGTTATGAGGGTTCTTTCCTTATGAACTGGAGTAAGCCCCTTATAAAAGCATTCACTCTCTTGCCAGTGTGAAGTCATAACTTTCAAAATACCATCTTAGATGCAGAGACAGGCCCTTACCAGAAGCCAAACCTGCTGGCACCTTGATCTGGGACCTCCCAGACTCTGGAACTGTGAGAGCTACATTTCTTTATAAATTACCTATTCTCCTGTGTTTTGTTATTGTACTATTTTTTTTTTTTGCTTAAATGATGTTATTACGCTGTTCTATTAAAACATTGTTATATGCCACAACAAGAAACATGGCCATTTTCTTAAAGGACATGGGGAACTATGGGAAAGATTTTTTATTTAGCTAGTAGTATGTATTTGCTGCAAAGTCTTACTCTGGAAGCAAGGTAGAAGAGGAATGAGAAGGCTACATGGAGGAGGTGTGAGTACTGGAGGGAAGTGGACAAGGAGATGCAGGAAAGAAACCCAAGATGTTAGAGTGAAACATAGCTTCATTAGTGTGTGCCAGAGCTCACAAAATCTATAGTTTAAGAAGGATAATATGTGAATCCTGCTCATCAGGTGTACATATTCACTCTTTGTTAAAACACCTCTCACCTCTCGTCAACAAAGTGGAGTACCATCACTCTCTACCCAGGAGCATCTAATACCTTTCCCCAGAAGCACTTCTATGGAGTCAGTTTGGTTGATAGCCAACTACAGAAGAGCCTCCTGTACTGCCTCTCCTATAGCAGGAATATCTGGGTTGAACTGATACTGCAAAGAGACTGTGTAATGTATAAAGTAGTGAAAGGTAATGGTTAGTATGGCCAAATTGATTGGATAGCAAAATCTCTGGTTTTAGGAACAAATATGTGGCGGCATTAAATCACATAAATTATTCAACACATTCTGTTTGGGTTGCTTGTTGGAATAAGATTGGAGTCTTATTGGTAACAGTGCAAGAACTACTCACTGAAAGCTTGGCTTTCAGCTAGGGATAAGAAATGGGCCAGACTAGATTCTTTCTGCTAAGTCTTGCTTATTTTCAAAACAGAAGCTGATCTATGTTCCCTGCTATAAGAAAAGGTTCCTGGGGGAAGGTGAGCCTTTGGATGATGCTGGCTTAGCGGGTGGAATGTACCTTCAAGCCTGTTCTCCAGGGCTGGGAGGGAAAAGAAAAGGAGATGTTTCCTTGGCTGAGAGAGGAAGAAGGAAAAAAAAATTCCAAGATATTTGACAGCTATATCTTTCCGCCGCCACCTTCCCCACAAACCCACGCATCTCTGCTTAGAGTCTGATATAAAACGAAAAGTGAACCCCCCATTTGCCTATGTGCTTTCAATGAAAAAAGTCGGTGCACAAGGACTGAAGCGAGAGCGGCTGAAAATAGGTGCATGACTTGTTGAGCATACAAATCATTTCCCTTTTAGTCTCCAAGGGAGGGAAAAAAAAAAATCCCTCGTACTCTCTCCGTGCAGCAGCCTGTGTTCGGCACTCTGGAGAGGTGCCTGAGGCTGGTCCACTCGCGCTCCTTCCGCGGTCCCCCGCTGGAAACTTTTCTCGCAGGGCCCGTTCGGTCCATTCCGCTCAGGCGGAGACAGTGGGCGTCCTGCGACTCCCCTCCCAGGCAAGGGCCCAGACCCCGCGACGCGCCTGTCTCTTTAAATTCCAGCTGCGCGGCTGGGAAACAGCGCCACTCGCCGCCCAGGCCGACTGGCTGCGAGCGAGCTCGCGC